TCGTGTATGACGATAATGGAACTATATTCTGAATAATTACCGTGTCATTCTTAGGCTGATGTTTTACCGGACACTTTTTCCCTAATATTCCCAACAAACTATCGTCGTATACAACAATCGAAGTTGTTAACGTCGCTGGCAGAGCAAAGGTAGGTTTGCAGACAGATGGCGGATGCAATGCTCAGTAACATTCGATAAATTCATATTTACTTTATGTTTTCTTATTTATATTCTCACAGAATGACAAGATTATGATTCAGATTGTGTTGTCATGTGGGTAGATATAGTGTCCTGTAAAAAAAATAATATATATGGCTTATTTGGTGGAAACATGAGAAGGATGAATGCCGGCTGTCACTTTAAGTTTAGAGGGAATGGGAACAGAGAGACTGGAGGATAGATGAGGAATATTATTTTGGGGGTGATTAGAAAGCTTTGAATATCAAGGAGTTGGTTGGGGAGGTTTGAGAATCAAAAGTTTTCTTATAAGGGGAAAAAGGTGGGACAGACGTTTGAGGAGCAAAATACGTAGGAGTAGAAGAGGATGCAGTACTGCAACGGTAAGATTGACTGATGCGATGGGTAAAGAAAAAGAAGAGGAAGAGCGGTAGATATCGGTGAAGTGGTAGAGTTTGGAGTGTCTGGATTTAGACATGCAAATTAGTTTAATTGGAAGAAGAAGGGGGTAAAGGGGGAACGTACGGAGTAAGCGAAGAGATACTATAGATGTAGAAACATCTTGGAGAGAAGGGGGAGGAGCAGAGCGAAGGACAGCATTGGAGTAAAGAGCAAGAGAAAGAACTTTGTCGGCGTGCTTCCTGCCAAGCCTCACGTGAAGCGAGGCCATGGATATGTAGAGGATATGTAGGACAGCCTATGTAAAATACATTGAGTTAACCACAATTGGCACATGTGCGTGATTTCGCAGAGCAGTATGAACGACTATGACTAAGTTGGGCACATAGAGGTCAGCAAAGGCAATCTTAGCAATATTGGTGTAAGACTTTCGGCGGCTTCTGGGGGGAAATAGTGTAGCACTATACGGATACTGCATCATAGTCAACAAGGGAGACAAGGAGGTCATTTTAATTGTTAAACTAATCCTTGTCGTAGACAGGGCAAGCAGACAGGGAGATGAAAACAATTCCGGTACAAGTATTAAGGGAGTGAGGTTAGGCATGAATACATTTGCCAGGGAGGTTAGTCAGGGTAGATGTTGCATGAGCATGGGATTCAGATGTGAATGTGACAAGGCTGTGGAAGGAAACTTGCCTACTTGGTTTTTGAGACATTGTTGGAAGAGGAGGGTTCTGTCAAAGTAAATGACTGTATGGCGAATCACAAAAAAAATCGATCCCACTTCGCTGAGTTAAAAGTATTAAGAGGACGAGGATAGAAGGTGTTGAATGTGGGGAGGCAGACATAAGGACGAAGAGTAATTATAAGGGAGGAGGGGTATAAAAATGAAGAGGATGAGATGGAGAGAAGGATGTTGAGAGGAATGGACAGAGCTGACAGCAGGTATTGAGGAGCAGGTAGAAGTAGTAGTGTTCAGAGTCATGAACAAAGGAGAGCCATGGGTTGGATAACCGGAAAACTAAAGTCAGAGGGGCTAGTCGATAGTGGAAAAGCCTCAATGCTCCAAAATTATTAATGGCCATGGTAAGCCTGGAGTATGTGGGGGAGAGAAATGGTTCACCCCTCTGGGTCCCCCATGAAGGTTAAGTGCTAGATGACTAAACAGGAATATTGTGCTCATGGCTCCCCTGAGACTCTTCAGGACTGACCCAAAGCCAGCCTTTATCCTTTCAACACAGCTCTAATAGCTTAGAAAGTGGACATGAGAAGGGATTGGAGAAGAGAAGGAAAAAGAAAGAGGGAGCAAAAAGTTAGTTGAGGCGAGGGCTGAGGCCCAAGGCATTGGAGATCCCAATATTGGGCCTCAATCTCTAGCTCCTTTACCCTCCTCCCCATGGCAACTTGCATGGAATTGGGGTAGGGGGGCACACCTTACAAGAGGAAGTAGCACAGTTCATGAGAGAGCAGAACTCAGTACCACAGGGCTCTTCACTAGGCCTTCAGGCTGATGATGAAATCAGTGTCGGAACAGTTGTCTCAACCATTGTATCATTTATATATAACTTATTTCTATTTAGTTCATCTTGCTTCATAATATAAAGATGGGGAACACACAACTTATATTAAATGACATTACTGACAGTATAGTTACATTGTCATCCAAGGACTTTGATGAAAGTTCTCAGAATTACAACCCTTAACAAATTTCATTGTCTTTGAAATGCAATCTTACTGTCTGCTTCATTTAGTCAGATTTTTATGCATTACAAGTCTAGTCCATCCTTTTACCTGTTAGCTTGAATTACTTTCCTAATAGTATATTACTTGTATAATAAGTCTTGCCTGATTTATGCTGGCTTTCACTTTATATTAACTTCTGATTTGAAAACACATACATCTTACAATAATTTATAGGGATCTTTCAAATTATCATTTCCATTTATTGAGTGTTCACATGTCCACACTTTACTTCTTGATAATATATTTTTCTTATTTTAGTGTTTTTTTTTCAGATATATTCATTTGTTGCACAAATACTTCTCAGTTCAGTTAGACCATCTTTGCAATCTGGTAATATACTACAAATATATCCTAGATTTTGCAAAATAACAATTCTTTACCCTGGTATCATAAAAATACTAATGGAAATGCATATACACTGGTATTAATTTCCTCTGAAAATGTAGAAGGGACTGTAAACTACTGTATAAGAAGACTTTATAAGCTTTAATTATTGGGAAAATTTAGTTAGGTTAACAAGTTTACTATCTACACATTCTAAATCTTTCAGATGAAAAAGTAATTATGCAACACTTTAAGAGTAACCATAACAGACATTTGTTGCATCACACAGGTTGAGAACCACAGTATTAGACATGATATTTTTATTGGTACAGTTGTGAATACAAAAGATGTTAGATGAATATATTAAGATCTGTGCAACTCGTCATTTCTTTTGTAAAGCGACAAGACATAAAAAAGCTGTCACCCAAATATTAAAGTAATTGTACTGAAATGTTCCCATTATTTCCAATCTCAATTTTCCCATTAATTGTTCCCTCACCTCAATACTTTGTATATAATAATTTCCTCTTCCTCATATTAATTATCTATTACAATTTTGATCCCTATTTATTTCTTAAAGCATACAAGATTGCCAGCATTATTTAATCAATAAATAAGTGATGTTCAATGGAGCAGGATAAGGAAATACTCTTATAAGGTTATTATTGTTTTTACTGCACATCAAGCTGTATTCACAAGACAGGTTGACATAAATCTTCACTGTGAGACTATATATCAATAATACATACATCAAATAAATTACAACCATACAAGATACTATACAACTGTATCTCTCAGTATACAAGCTACAAATAGTTGTCTAGTATACAAAGAGTTCAGATAAAACTGTAAAAATTTTCAAGTTGCAGCTACAATGTTTTGTCTGCTTAGCAAACAATTTCGTACATAACTTGTGCCTTGGTGTTTCTTTTGACAAAATGAAAATCATATCAACACAAAATCCATTAATAAAAATGAAGTTGATTCCTTATAAAACAGTCAACAGTTCCAATATGGAACTATAAACCTCTCTTTTAATTAAGTAATTACAATTCTATACATAATAAACTTATTCAAACAATAAAGCTTTGGTATTGATATAAATATCTCTGTATTCTGATGGTAGATTAGTCTTAGAACAGTTCAAGAAAGTTGTATAAAAAATATATTACAAATAACAAGATGCAAGAAAAAAAAAAAAAATCCAAATATTATGGAAGTTCAAGTCGATTTAGTCAAAAAGACATTAAGAAATAAGATATACACAAGAACAAATTAGCAAAACATCTCTGGATTAACCATGCCACTCGTATCATTTACCTCATTTTCCCACTTCTAAAAAACTAATCCAGAGCTGTTCCCCTTAAATAACTTAATGAACACTATATGAGAAGGAAAATGAAGATACAGTTTCAAAGGTAATTCTGTCTCGAAATAAATGGAAAAAAAGGGGGAGAGAGACGGAGTAGAAAAGAAGGAGGAAAGACTGCACAGCTTCAGCCTCGGGAAGTTAAGCTGCCTCGTCTGCTGACCGAGACACCAGCGGTAATTTTGATTCTCTGGTGGAAAATTTTCTTTCCATTTACACTGATTCTCGTAGCAAAATAAAGCAACTCCTACAGTAGCATCAAAACACCTGATGCTGTGAAAATAATTGCACCACAGTGAGAGGAGAGAAGAGAAGGTTTGGAGCCAAGCCGCAGGAACTCTTGTTAAGTACTCTCTACTGACTGTGTTGTGTATCAGGATGAAGCTGAAAGTTACAGGTATCCATCGTCAAGCCAGTACAACGTAACTGTGAGTGCTGTTTTACTCAACTTTCTTTTCCCCCAGAGGAAGCTGTTTCCCTTATGATACAAAAGAAAATAACTTAAAATTTATTACTGACAAATGATTACGTAAGAGGTTAAACAAGAGAGAGAAAAGAAAAGATAAGAAAATTAACTGGAAACCTGATAATTCATAGATATAGGACATGAAGCAAGCTGTGCAGTACATACAATTTTCCTAATACTTTTTTTCCATCTTTATCACAAGTAGCTAATGCCTCTTTTATGACAACCATCATGCTCATTGAATGAAGTGAAAGACAGTTTTTTTCCCATTAACATTAGTTTCTTTTCTTAGTCACTCATGCAAAATGAAAGATGTGATGATGGCCAATCACAAAAAATAAAGGCTCTCTTGACAAATAGTGAAAAAAAGTCAAAAGACTTAAGATATCCAAAACAAATATTGGGGAAACAAAAAGAGAGGGAGGGAGTTAGAAAGGAGGGGAGAGAGAGAGAGGGAGGTGAGAGAGAGAAGAGAGAGAGAGAGAGAGAGAGAGAGAGAGAGAGAGAGAGAGAGAGAGAGAGAGAGAGAGAGAGAGAGAGAGAGAGAGAGAGAGAGAGAGAGAGAGAGAGAGAGAGAGAGAGAGAGAGAGAGAGAGAGAGAAAAAGAGAAGAGATGCCAAATTCAAGAAATGACAAATCCTTGCCGGCTAAACTTTCAAAATAAGCCCCCCCCCCATAAGAAAAAGAGGAAATAAAAATGTTTACCCATCAATTTCGAAAAAAACACCTCTGACACTTACAGCTCCATTCTGAATCTGCTCTTGTGCTGTGATTAATTATTTTACTTGAAAATGATCCTCTGAGAAGTGAAAATACACCAGTCCCAGCTCTCTTTCTTCAACCCTCCAAAACATGGTCTCATTACTTTCTTCAACCCAATAACATGAGTCAAAAAATGAAGTTTACTAAATGGGAAAAAAAGTAATAACAACAACAATAAGAGTTAACTTAGGGTATTTCTCCTTCATTCATGGGACTGGGTCTTTCCGTCTCCTGAGGCAGACAAGTGATGCAATGATAACCTCTGCATGAGACCTTCCCAGGGCTTCAAATTCTAGCTCACTGCTTATATCACATTTCTCTATAGTTACTCTCACTGGATGCCTTTACTCATTACCTCTGAGCAACACACTAGAATTTTTTACCCTGGACTTTGGAGAATTCCATGATTGGTTGCCAGCCGATGCTTGAGGCCTAGCTGAGGTGCAACGTGTGCCCCTCACACTGGCGGGCGTGCGACAGACCAAACGATAAGGTGGGATCTATCACCACGGCTGAGCGACTCGGCTGACGTGTCTGGGGCTCCATCCTCCTCTCCTTCACCTAAGGATGACACAAGGCACTATTAGTATACTTACCATCCTTTTACACAATGTGGATTCCTAAAAGTAAAAAGATGTACAAAATAAATACACTGATACTTTTAAATACAAAAAAATTTACATAGAAGTTTGTGAATCTCTGCTACATCTTATCTTTTAATGAATTCCGAATGCTGTTACTTATTATACTAACTTAAACTTCTACTCTCTGAAATAGTTAAAGGAAAGTCAATACTTTACCTACTCTTTTTAAGTTAGTTCAACTAACAACCAACATTTTCACTAGTCAATCTACCAGAAGACAAATTGAAGGCATTTATGAATAATGCTGGAGCATTCCCGAGCATAGCTTTTGTTAAAGAGTAACTCTTATTGTGAATTTGAAATTAAATTTTACCTTCATAACATTATTTGAAGCTAATGAAAAATAACAAAAGTTAAATTGATTTGCATCTGATTCTTAGATTAAAGGAAACAGAACCATAACTTTGAAGAATTTAATGGTTATTTACACAGCTGCCTGTCAGACACTTGAGTGCATGTCTGTCAAGAAACTGTAACAGAAAGGGAGACAAAGAAAAATAGTGGAGCAGTTTCAGGTTACTCTCTGGAAGAAAGACTTTTGCTGTTTGTCAAATCAAAATAATATGATGTCATTTATGATGACAATCCAGGTGAATATCTTATGCAGTGGCCTTTTCCCTGCAACAAGATGAAATGGTAAAAGGAGTCACATCCAAAGCTTAAGCCTAGACAGGGAGTGCAATGCCTGGGTGTGTTTAGACTTAGGGTGCAATTCATAAGAATGAAATCAGAAATCAGGCTTGTATTGAGGCTAATTTGTCTATTAGGGGAAAGAGACAGCATTACTCTATTTGTGATGGTAAAGACAAGAGGTTCTTCCATGCTTTAGAACCTCCACTGCAAAGTAGCCTTGACATCATCATCACAGGTAATGCAAACACCCTTGCTTGTAGCCCACAATCCTCCCTCTTCCTCTCACATGTAGAATGGGCCCAAGCCTCTTCTCCAGCTATGGTTTTCTAGATTACTTTTCACTAGTATGCAGAAACAAACAGGGCTTTAGAACGGTTGAAAACATCTGTAAAAGAAACTGTGATAGGAAGCCAAGCCAAGGGTAGAAACAAGGACTCAGGTTCACAGCTGCTACAGACTGCTGCTAATGCCTTTTGGACTCATGTACAAAAAAAAAGCATCTACAATATCTTATTCATTACTAAATACCATTAATAAGAATTACATTTAGAAAATATATATGAATATATATGTGGCAGATAAACCATGAAGTTTGTATGCAGTTCACTTTGAAATCAGGTTCACACACCATTACACTGCAACAGATTTCAACAGTAATGAAGAGCACTGGTTGTTTATTGATTTGAAGACCAACAAGTACATGTATGACTAACTACTGCCATACAAACAGGTATTTACCCTGCCACTAATGCAGAGGAGAGAGAACGCAAACACTATCATTCACCCTAACAGACTAAACAATAACCGCCACCACAGAAAGCGTAGGTATTAGCCTCTTCACATCTGAGTCACAGCATAATGCAAGGTTGAGCTTTAACTCCTTATTTAAAATAAATATATATTAATCATCAGTATTTTCTGTCCTCCTACAACAATTTATTTTTTTAGAGAGAATTCTTGCTAGCCATGAGTTGATATTAAAGTCATTCTTATATATCAGAAGGATTATTTGCTTTGATAAATAAATGGAGCACAGCAAGGACAACACGCAAAGCTTTTGGATGAATGATGTGATGAAACAAATCATCATATTATCATTGTGGCCATTTCCAGAGTTAGGAATAAAAAGTTAACAAATACTAATTGCAAATATGAAAATAAATATACATTTTACAGATAGCAAGGATATTGTTTTATGTTCATCAAAAAGCAATAAAATAAAAACAGAGAGAGATTAATGTACAGTATGAAAAAAATAAATAAAAAAATAAAAAAATATAAGTTGTATCAAGATATAAGTAGAAAGTTATTAGCTTTTACAACATACTACATGTCAAAAGATTACATACAACTCCCTTTAAATGCAGGTTAAAACTCCATATTCTGTGTCATAACTCTAAAAGACATTTCACTTAGGAGGGGATGGGAGAGACAGACAACTAGAGGGAGAGAGAGAGAGAGCAGGATCTGACCGTCATGTAATAACCCCGTGACCTCTCGGGTCGGCATGCAGTGCTCTGTGACCTCTGGTAAGCTTCATGCAGGGAAAACCCAAGATTTGACCCACAGCAGTCCAAAATTCTTTGTGGAAAAAGACTGAACTAAAGTGCAAAGATAGTCATTACACTATTCTGGTTTAAAACTTGCAGAGTAAGGGGTGGACATGGGAGGGGCCAAAAAGAGAATCCATCATTTGATTTGGAGAAAAAAAAAATGTATATAGATATACATATACATACAAACACATATAATTATTCTTTAAAAAATTGATAAATGGAAAGAGGTCAGATAAGCAGTGGTGCTCCAACTGAACTGAATGTTGAAGGAATACTTTGAACAAGGTAACTGAAAATTGAGTAATAACAATAAAATAAAATAAAAACAATGATGAAGTGGTACCTGTCTTGACATATTAAGTTTAAGCAGAGTTAAAACTATCTTACACTGTTTGTGTCTTCATTCCTGCCTCTAGGATTCAGTCAATCCAAAATGCTAATTTTCACGGCTAAAAAATCAATCACTTGAACTAACACTTCTTAATCAATCCTTGATGCCGATCATATCATCATCATCATCAGTCTACGTTTTGGTGAGAGTGAATAAGGGGTCAAATCATTGGTAGTAACTAAGAAGAGCAGTAGAGACCGCGGTGCTGTGACTCTGAGGTGAGAGAGGCGCATACCCGGGGCTGAGGCTGTCCATGTGGAGGAGGTGGTGTTGGTGTTGGTGGAGATGATGGTGGGGCTGCTACGCGTGGCCGTTGGTCGTTGCTGGGGAGGGGTTGTTGGCGGTGGCAGAGGAGGAGGAGGAGGAGGAGGTATAGGGTTGGGCATGGAGATGGGACAGGTTGTCTTCCACAGGTATATGCCACACCAGGAGGTGACTGGCGGTATCACGGTCTTCCTCCCGTTCGTCGGCTGCGAGGCACAAATGTCAACACAGGCACACCACAGTATCCCAAGCAGGTAGCACAAAACAGCAATAATTAATTTTACTTTTTCCTTTTTTTCTCTTTGTACAAAAGAAGAGAGCTATATGCAGGGTGCCATAGCATTTTTTTTTTTTTTTTTTTTTTGCTATACAGAACTGCTACACATTACTGCTTGGCATGAAATGCTATATAAAAAAAATCAAGACATTCCACATCTGCATAGAAGAGAAAATTTACAAAGCTGAAACACAGAACTCAAAACTGAAGGAAACAAATGCATTCTATACAAAGCTGAACACAACTCTGAACTGTTATATACAAATGCATAACCCCAAAACTCTGAATAATATCAACGGAAGCAGAATAAGATTAACTTTAGAAGAGTCAAACACAAAGAGAAGCAACCAGAAAGCCTTTCAAGTATTTTTGGTTGTTTGTTTGTTTTTTGTTTTATAAAAACACACCACACAACAAACAATAAAATACACATGCAACACCCAAACCAACCTCAAATTCTGATCCTGAAACATGAAAGGCTTTACAGGTTAATTCTAGCAGTGGAAAGGCAGAAAGACATAGTGGGAGAAAGAGTAGAGGGAGAGAGAAGGGAGGACGGGAGGAACTAAAGCAGGAGAGTAGGAGGGAGAGGGAGAGGAGAGGGGGGGAGGGGAGGGGGAGAGAGAGAGAGAGAGAGAGAGAGAGAGAGAGAGAGAGAGAGAAGAGAGAGAGAGAGAGAGAGAGAGAGAGAGAGAGAGAGAGAGAGAGAGAGAGAGAGAGAGAGAGAATGAAAGAAAGGATGAGTGGGGAAAAAAAGAGTAAGAAAGAAAAACAGAAAGAGAGAGTGAAATATAAAATGAAAAAAGAGAAAGATAAACAGAGTGAAAAATAAAATGAAAAAAGAGAAACATAGAGAATGATAAACAAAATGAGACAAAAGAAAGAGAAACAAAGAATGAAAAAGAAAATGAGACAAAAGAAAGAGAAAAGAGAAAAAAAGGAGAACAAGGGAAAAAAAGAAGAGAAAGAAAGAAAGATAAAGAAAAAGACACAGAGAAAAAAGAAGAAAAAAAAGGATTACACAAGTGAAAGAAAGGAGAAAAGAGAAAGGGATAAAAAAGAAAAAGAAAAAAAGGAGAAAAGATAAAGAAAACGAATGCAAAAAAGGGAAAGAGAATGAAAGGAGGAGAAAAGAACAGAGAAAGAAAGAAAAAAAATACAGATAATTGAAAAAAACACACACAAAGGAGAAATGAGAATGAGAAAGAAAAGAAGAATTTTGAAAAATACAGGAAAAAAGAAGTTCAACCAATACAAACAGAGAGAGACAAATAAACAACAACAACAACAACAAAAACGGGTCTTCTTCCACTCACCGATTCTGAAGTCAATGTATCCCTCTCCACCCGAAATGACTAACATACTCTTTGGCTTCTTCTCAACGTCCTCCTCCAGCTGCTCCTTATCAGTGATGGCCGGGACCGCAGAAACAGGCGGTGTGGCTGTAAGGGCATTATACCCGCCTGAGCCTGTGTGTGGCATGCGGCGCACATTAATGGTCGAAAGCAGAGAGGTAAAGCACATGCGACCGTGGCTTCCACTTATTGGGTGTCCTCTGAGGGGTGGGAGGGGGAGGGGGGCAGTGAGTTCCGTCGACAGGGCGGAAGTTGAAAGAGTGGAGGCAACATCAGACTTTGTCAACTCAAGAGTTACAGCTTTTGAAAGAATAGTAGTGCATGGGGCGAGACAGGGGGATTGGGGTGCGGCTTTTTAAGTGAGAGCAGAGAGGAAGCTGCACATGTATTCTTTTCTTCCAAAAAATGAAGCATTTAGTATGTGAAACAAAGGGGGAATTACCTAAAAAAATGTAGTTGGAAGCCAGTGAGTTTACAATAAAAACATAACTTATTTCTAATAAAGACCAGAGTAGTACAGAAATAACACAGAAAATTGTGAATGTAACTATATTGCTACATCCTATATGTTATAAAATAAAATATTAGAGAAAAGAATAAATAAAATATTAGTCTCAGAAGATGAAACTAAAGTTGTAAATACATTTATAAGCACATATTTGTCTGAAAGATAAACATGCTGCATGCACTGAAGTTTTTTTCTATAATCATGGGAAAGTTTAATAAACTATCACATATATATTTATGATTTGTGCAAAATGGCAAACTAGCTATTTAACATCAATTAGTTATGGTTATACTCTAAACTGAAACAGTTTTTTAATATGAAACATTGTTAAACTTACTATATTCCAGTCCTTTATATCCTCAAAACATATTTGCTTTTTATATAACCATCCATCTTAATGGAAAAAAAAGAAGAAAAGGAGAGGGTGATAAAAAAATTGTGAAACAAGGAGGAGGAGGAGGAGGAATAGGAAGAAGAAGAGTAGCAAGATGAAGAAAAAACAATAAAAAAGGGGACCAGTAGGTGAAAATGGATGGATAATAGTAGTATAACTTGCTAAATTACTTGCTTTTTCAACACGTTTCATGTACATAACATTCTTTAAACTCTTTTTATTCTATTTTATTCTTTTATCTCTGAAATTATAGCAAAAGTATGGAGGATATAAGAGACACAAATGATACTGCAGTGAGTAAAAAGCAATATCCTAACATAATAGAGAAATATCTACTTTAATTACAAAAGAAAAAAAAAATTATCTCCTTCTCTTTAGAGAAATCTTATGAGATTATTCTTTAATGTTGGATGATTAAAAACAAATAAACAAATAATTAAAATATTCATCATTTTAATTATGTCTTATTAAATCAAGAGTTGATTTCTAAAATTCCACAAAGCAAAAGCCAGTTGCAACAAGGCAGCACAGCCTACCTGGCACGGCAACGAAGAACTTGACGGCATCCCTGTGCCCGTGGAAGGAGAGTTGAGCTTGGGCCATGGAGCAGTAAGGGATGAAGGAGCCAGGTGTCACCTGGTCCTTGACATCACTATACACACGGATGACAGCCCCAGGCATCCTGGCCCCTCCACTGCCACTTCCTCCAACGCCAACCACAGCACCCGATGCTCCCGCAGATGTAGGCACTCGCACTCCTCCCCCACTCCCTGGGGTACCTCCTTCGACTCCACTACCGCTGGCTACTGGCCTTGGATTGGCACCTGGAAAGGAAACATGGGCACAATGCCCATTGCAAGATTAAAAGTTAATCTTAATTAGATAAGCTATGAGAATGTGCTAGTTCATGGCTTTATTTTCTCTTTTCTATTCTTTCATTTGCTTACATCATCTTAGCCCAATCACTCCATTTGGCAAGAATACTTGCTATGCCAACAGTTATGTAAGTTTATTTATTGTCTTTACACATAGATAGCTCTACATTTACTTAGTCACCAAGGAGTTAGTTATTAGTCCTACCTATCTAACCTGTTGACCATTTTCCTTGATTTTTGGAATGCATCTTTTGTGTTATTTTCTTTAATGTTATTAATAATTCAATAACAATCTAACAACCATAATATCAATTTGAATGATTACAGTATCAGTAGTAATACTGTTCGAAGGAAAAACACATTTTTCCGCAATTTTTAGGGACTCCTTAGTGCCTGACTGCATGTGGAGCCATCTGCATGTAACAATATTCACAACAAAATTCAGGGAACAGTACATAAAACTAGAGTGATTGAGTTAATCTTAAATTAATTTTCTCTATCTGAATACTGAACAAAGCCCATCTCAATATCAACTTGAAGCGTTGGGGGATACACATATTTCATTCAAACAAGAATAAAAAAGAAAGATAGAAAGAAATCCCCTGTAACAGTGAAACTATATCCCTCCCTCTCCATTCAGTCTCTCTGTGGAGTATTTTTATGCCTTTGAACTTTTCAACATTCTGAATACCAATTAAAACAGCAATTATTACAAATGTCCGAAAGAATAATGGTACGGTCTTTCTGCTTATTAATCTATCTTATTTAGTAAGATAGGGAGGGAGGGAAGGGAGGAGAGCAGGTCAGGAAGGGGATTGGCCTACCTTTAGTCCTTGCCTTTCTGATTTGGAGGCTACACCAGACCTCTTTCATGACTTCATTTCTAGTCATTCCCATTTCCCTAGATTGGCTGCAAATGATGGGACTTTACACTAGAGCCACAGCCTTCTACACCAATTTTCTTTTTTTTATCTTACCAATAGCATGAACAAACTTTGGCAACTTGAAGATCTGTAAATGGTTCTGAGCTTTGCATGTAACTTTTGTTGAATTACCATCACATTGAATGAAAGTGGTGCACCCATTTCAAATCTGGCTGGTGGCAAAGTTCACACAATCCAAAGAAAAGAATGCAAGACAAATATGAGTATATAAGAAACACAAGTCAAATCCAAGACCAAAATAAGACAAAATGAGTTAGATTTTACAAGGTAAAAGCACCAGAAAAAACAATAACAATTTCAACACAAGGATAGAACTGGTTGTACAACTTCAGGCAAATAAAGAGAATGCTCGCTCATCCCTCCTAATCCCTTAACAGACAGAGAAAAGATGGAGAAGGAAAAAGGAAAAACAGAAAAGGAGAAAAGGGGAAAAGGAAAAGGACCCCTTTACAGAGAAAAGATGTTGAAGGAAAAAGGAAAAACAGAAAAGGAGAAATGGGGAAAAGGAAATAAGATGAGAAAAGACAGGAAAGGTAGCAGAAAAAAAGAGAAGAGGATAAAAAGGCAATGAATGAAAATAGGGCAGAGAAGAGAAGCTGATAAAGGTTAAAGAAAAAGTATAAAAAATGAGAGTAGGGAAGAAGAAAAGGGGAGAGGGGAGGGAATGAGGAAAATTCAGAAGTTTAAATAAACAAAGGAAAGTGAAAGAAAAGAAAAGAAAAGTTAAATGATTAGCAAAATGAAACTGATCAAGAGTGTGCTTCACTTTCAAAAACACGAATGACTGATATCGAAATACATCACTTACGGAGCTGCTGGACAATGCCTAACCACCAGATGGCAGTGCAGAAGTGTCCAATGAACCGTCCACATGACAACGTGTTTGAGACAGAGCACATGAATGAACAAGGAGGCAAGGTACGTCAAGGCAATTGAAAGAATACCAGGAAAATATACATACATGAGTATCCACCACTATAAACACACACACACACACACACACACACACACACACACACACACACACACACACACACACACACACACACACACACACACACACACACACACACACACACACACACACACACACACACACACACACATGCATACTCACACACACATGCATACTCACACACACACGCATACTCTCACACACATGCATACTCTCACACACACGTATGGATGCATGCACGCAAATACCCCCCAACCCAAAAAATGTCAGTGACTCTACTGCACTTCAATTCAAATAATTTGCCTAATAACTCAAAACTTTATCTTCAGCCTTAACAAGAAAAAAAATCCTTATTACTCAGAAAACTATTTACAATCTTGGTATTAGCACACCCATATAAACCTCCTTTAATTTGCAATGATTAATAAACCACTCAATAAACAATGCATCTTGTTAAGAGTTGAAACTTTGCCTCAAATAGCTACATAAGAATGAATAACAGAGAACTCAAATGGAGATGGAAGAGAAGGTCTGGAAACTCAAAAGGCAATACAGCCAGACAACTTTCACTTTATTCTTCTTTAACCATTCTGCACCAGGGAACATCGGAGGACATTAGGCCGACAGATGCCAGGTTTTGTTGGCCTTGTCTGTAGATTCCTTTTCCCTGCCCTAACTCTGTACAAGTCTTTCCATGTTGCAAACTCCATGACAACTATTCACACATCACATCTTTGGTTTGGCAAGCTTTTAGTGCAACTATTTCTCTAAAATATTGAAACACTGACAGCTGTGGCCTGGGGTCTGACACCTATACATCCACAGATGTGCCCTGGCCATAGGAAGGGGATCAGCTACACAATGCCCACTTAGGGTCTGAATTCTTTTAACATTGAATTTCATTTCAGGTTTTGAAACATTACCTCCTTGATGGTTGAATGGTGTACCAAATGACAATCTGTTATGGCAATCCTGCCTATCCTTAGGAGGGAACAACATACAGGAGGTACAGCTTTTCTCCTTAACTTAGGGTATATAACATGTTCATGCCAACATCATTGGTTATTAGAATAAAGATAAAAAGTATAAAAATATACAAATACTTATGACAATAAAAATGTTTAAAGGGCTCATGAAAAGCCACAAAAAATAAATCTTAATGCCAAAATATTATTTTGAAGGACATATGATCACCTTTTAACATTAAAGGTCAATATCCCATCTCTGAATTATTATGGGTTAAAATTCTCAAACAATGTCTTGCACATACTGTGCAATGAAGAGCAGTACCTAGTATAATCATGTCCACATGTATAAATCCCTCTCCCAAAGGCCAATAAAACCAAATCAAGAAAAAACACACAATCACAGGATTTCATACAAGATGCCGGAACATCTGAAGGCAAGGCTACTCACTCTCAGACAGCGGGACGGAGATGATAACTCCATTGCCGGTTCCAATCCAGAGGCGGTTTGAAGAGATGAGGAGAGCTGTTATTCTTACAAAGGAGAAGCCCAACTTCCCCGTCCCTGGAACGGTGACTGTTGTTAAATGTTGACTGCAGTTTAACTTAGCAATCTCATTTATAACACTCCTACTTGGTAAATGTGGAAACTTAAGTATAAAAATTCTTGGGGATAAAATACATGTATACCTCACAATCAAATGCATATACTATTGGTAACTTACAGGCAAGCAAAACAAAAATCATAATAAATTAAAGAGATCTAGAGATCTAGTCTACTAATACAGAGTAATAATTAAGATGTCTAAATTTAAGAGTGGGAATGCTTGACTACCACTGCATCTATATATTCTGACATTCAATAATTATCTCTGAAGACTTGGTTCAAGAAACTTTGATTGTGGGTAGCAAAATTAAATAGAAAAAAATGGCAGCAAATTAACAATATAAATTCATCAGAAAAGAAATTAAACTAAACAGAATTAAAAAATGCTCTCAAGCAAATTAGTAAAACAAAAATTCAATTAAAAGAGACTCAATCATCTGCTGAATCTCTTTGCCATGCCTAGTGTCAAAATAAGATAAGCCTTTCCAACAAAAAACTGTGCATCTCAGAATCGCTTCCACAACATGAAAGGAAAAGGTCATGATATTCAAATTTAGGAAGAGTGAAAAGACAAACCTTCATCTGCACCTCCAATGAAGAGGAAGACATAATACGCATGTCAAAAATGTTGCCGCTAAGCTGACTTTCACACATGAAATCACCCCCCATGGGAATGTCAAGTTTACCCACAACAATGAAAACAAAATAAATAACATCAAGATTTTGAACTCTTTCAAAGTCACAAGGAAATCTACCACCATCTCAAAGACAAAGTTATTCAGTATATCACAAACATGAGCTTACAGGTTATCTAGGTTTGACACCATGCAAGTGTAGCATTCACTGGTATTTGGTGAAAATCTCTGTTAATTTGTGTTAGGAGAAAATATATCTGTATCAACTAGAAGCAAATTTTGTTTCATGTTATAAAATGTTTTAAAAAATCATGATCATAAATAGGTGATTTACTGGACTGCTAACTAAAAGAAGTAAAAAAATGAGATTCTGCCTTTGATACCACATGTCTCTAAGTATGCAGTCTTGTCTTACAGACCTTTTTTTTAAGGAAAAAAAAAAAAAAAATAATACCAAAAACAAAAACTGGAAAAAAAATCTGCAGAGATAAATAATTAGGCAATGGGTTAATACCTCCAGGGAAGACACCTAAATCAGGCGTAAAATTTTTGGGCAGTCATCAAACGGCATCAGTGGGGCAAGCAGAAGAAAGCAGCAGATGGTACAACAGCAGGGAGGGATGAGTAGACAGCAGCAGCAGCAGTATCAGCAGGTGGAGGTGGTGGTTGTGGAGGTGGTGGTGGTGGTGGTGTGGGAGATCATTAAAGTTGGGCCAAATCAATGAGAATCGTTATGTGGAAGTGAGGGTGAGGATGCATTCTTTTGTGACTCTAGCAGACTGGACTAAGAGTGGACACAACTCGATGCAATAATAATAATTGTAAGTAAATAAATGTATAAATCAGTCAATGAAACAAACAAAACAAGAAGTATAAAAATAAACAATAAATACAGAGCAACTGAGTGAAATCCAGACACAAAATGCATCCTTGCCCTCTTTCCTGCTAGCTCCGAGATTTACTGCCGTTTTGTGTTCCATGTTAAAACAGGTTCTGATAACTGCTTGGAGTTAGGGGTACATTATTACATAAAAACAAAGAAACTACTTTTACAGCAAACTAATTGTTGTAAAACATCTGTAACAAAATACCCCTTCAGGATCAAAATAACATTACTCAAATCTTTTGTTTTCAATTGGTAGATCATGCTAATTATCATTTTTGGTAAACATGCCTATGTTAATTAAAAATCATAATTCCCCTGGAACTTATATCCCTAAAAAAAAGCAGCAGCAACAAAAATAAACTGCCTTTAACATAACGTATAAGCACATTTAACCCGAGAAAATTCAATCTGAAGGCGGTAAATAAATTGAACAGACAGGACAGCACATGTTTAGTTAAACCTCTTGCTCTATTTTGGAGATAGAAAGCAATTATTCATAAATGAATTCTGGATACAGACAGATATTTTTCATTATTATCAAGTTGTATTTTTTGACTTCTGAAAAAGCATAGCCCTTTAAATTTAAAATATAATATAGATATTTTCCAAAAACCTGCTGTTAAAGAAACAGAGCAAGACACTTAACTATATCACTAGTGGAAATCATTAGTCAGAGAACTCACAGGCACGCAAGCACTACTGGTGTAACTTACCGAGCATCTTAGAAACGTATGGCTCAATGTCAACATCTTGCAAATGTTGGTGTGTGTGTGCATGGTAGAGCCGCAGTGTAGAGTCCAGCCTGATGCTTACCCACACACCATCACCAATCCAAGCCATCTGTCGCACTTGTGATTCTTTACGTGGGTGGGCATCAAAGGATTTCTGCAGGTACAATAATAAAGTCTGTCATTACTTGCATATTCATAGATTGCTAAAATGGTGAAATTAAGAGGATTCTCACAATAATGACTTCTAGAATGAAGAATATACATATACTTTATACATATTGAGAACAAGATAATTTACACACCATGAGAATGAGGAACACAAACCTCAACATTCATAATCCTGGGATCGACGACGTGGATTTTGTTCCGGTAGCCACACCAAACCTTGTTGTGCACAACATGCATGCAGCGGATTGAGTGGTGGGGTTTGCCCAGGTCCAGCAGGTGGTAGTTGGTAAGATCCCACTGGCCATCACCTTGCCGGTGGAAGATGGCCACTGTACCATCAGCCAGTGCAGCTAGGACACGGCCCTTGATGTGGCTGTTGGAACAAAGCCAGAGGAATCAGGGAGGGGATTTCCAAAGGGTTATACTGAGATTCACTTCAAATATATCATGCTATGGATCACTTGGGAGGACATCCTCTTACCCCTGCCCCCTTCCCCTCCATCTTATGATCATGATTATTCAAGGTCATTCAACAAAACAGCAAATGAAACCATTTAAAATCTGTCACGTATGGTTTCACCTACTACTTAAAGCAGATTCCTTCTGGTTAATGCAAGTCTGACAAGATTTTTTAGACTCCTATTATGTAAACCTGACAAATCTGAATGAGAATTCATTAATATGAATATTTTATTATCTAAAAAAAAAAAAAAAAAAAAAAAAAAAGAAAGAAAGAAGAAAAAGGGGTGACAGCTTACACAATAGCAAGCACAGAATCCTTGAGCTTGATTGAGTGAAGGCAACGCTTCCACTGGCGGACAGCAGAGTGAACGTAGATGGAGCCGCTCTGCGACCCTAGCCACATCGTCGCCAACACAGATGACATTTTCTCCACCTCCTCATTCACTACACTTGTATCTGCAACCATGGAGGTGCACTCTTAGGAATGGAGCAACTTGTTAGCTGGTTTTCTTTTTCACATATTGTGAAAATCAATAATGAAGCACAAAAATGATACAAAAAGAGATATTTCCAAAATGTGATGACTCCCACCTGGTGTAGGCTGTGCCTCCTCAACTCCATCCTTGACTACACCCTCTGGTTCCTTGAGCAGCCTGCGAGGGGGAACCTCCTCCTCCCCCGAATTCTCCATCACCTCCGCCCGGTCTGCATCTTGCTCTGGAAGTGGATATTGCCAGATGTTACTCAAAAGGCACTTTCAAAGGTTTTGGAAAGAGGAAAAGGATGAAAGATAAAACTCCAAAATAAATGACCCATTAAAAGCTAATGATGTTTCATTTTGATTATTCTTAATAAGTGAACGTATTATGAAAAGTGTCCCTTCCATATAATGCATCTTGACATGTATAAATAAATGAAGAAATAAGTGAATAAATAAATCAATAAAATGTGGGCTTACTTATCTATCTATATATGTATGAATATATCTATCAATCTATCTACCTATCTATTTGTGTATTTACTTTTCATCATCTATCTATCCATCTATCAATCTCTCTACTTATCTATCAGTGTATTTACTCTTTATCAATTTATCCATCTATATATGTATTTACCTATCTATATATCTATCTATCTATTTATGAGAATGAAGAAGTGGGATGGAGGGTCAAGATATCTGAGTGAAAACAATCTGGCTTGAGTTTCATAATGAAGATATCAGGTGTAAGGCCATTATCAAAGAATAACCTGAAAGAGAGAATAAAACCTTTGCAAACTTTCCATTCTCTTCTTTCACTTGAATTTAAGGAATGCTAATAACTCTAACAATAAATTTAAATGTTAAACATCCCTAATAAATATAACACATTTTTGTAATAATAATAAAAAAAAAAAAAAATCTTACTTAAGCATTTAATAAAATAAATGTATTTCACTTTTCTTAATTCAGTAATTCATTAAGATAATTCTTGACCAATCACAACATAATAAATATAGTATTGAAATAAACCTCAGATTGTAAGACAAAAACAAGTTCCAAAAGCATGTTGTCCTAGGAATTAGACTTCTGCCTGAGTTTAAATATAACCTAGTATATTGCATTGAAAATAAAAAAGTGCATTGAAAAAAATCAGCAGAAATCTAATATTTGTTATAGTCATGCCCTGCAAATTTACCTCTCATATTTTCTTAAAACATTATTGTGTTACAGAGTCAAGTCCTGTTAATAAAACATCCAGAGGAGATGAGAGCCACAAGTCAAGACACCCCACCAAGTGCTCGCCGTTGTGGCTGGTTAACATCTGCAATGTTACTTTCTCCTTGTGCAGGCAAGAAACATACAGGCACTCTTGCAATCCAGTTACATAAGAGGAGAGAATTTAATGGAAAAGAGAGGACACCATAATGGAAATATAGGTTCTTCCTTTGTCATGAGTGATACACAGATACATGCTCCTTACTTCACCTAACTCGTCTCTGGAAATTTCTAAAAACAAAGTAATTCCTGAAAGTAATTGGCAAATTCATGATTGAAATATGAACTAAAATCTATACTCCTATATAAAAAATACTGTATGCATATATGTATAAATAAAATGGAAATTATCAAACAGTGCCTATATCTATCATATATTTCCTGTCACTGTATCAAGCTTAAGGAATCTCAATAAAATCTGACATCGGGTCACAGGATACCTGCTCATTCCAAACCTTGGGAAATCAACATAAAAACTGAGACTACAGAACTTGTTACCAACATTTTTGTCACACAATTACTTCTGAAGGGGATACCTGGGTTACTCAACTCACTTCAACCTCTAGCAGTTGCTAATCTGTCAAAGCATATAAATTCCAAACCAAATGTTCCAAAGGAAGACAGGAAACTCAAAGCATAAACTGATGACAGCAAATGCCCCATCCACTTGGGACATGGCTGGATAGACAGGAAATGACTACAGTACCAATGCAAACTAGATTAAACCACGATGGTCTGCAATAAATCTGATATATAGCTCATCTGTCTTCTAGCTGACAAAGATAAAATTATGGTACTTGCCATGAGAAAGAGAGAGAAAGGGGGTAAGGCAGATGCAGGAGCAGTGAAGGATAAAGTATATGGAAATGGGAAAGGAATAGGAGAGAGAAAGAGGAATCTAGATGGAGAGGGGAGAGAGAGAGAGAGAACAAAACATCTTTTGCCTACCTAGCTGTATAAAAATTCCTGAGTTTCTGGGAAATTGCCAAGCATAAATATATATATATATATATATATTATAATATATATATATAATATATATATATATATATAATATATATATATATATATATATATACATATATACATATATACATATATATATATATATATATATATATTATATATATATATATATATATATATATATATATATATATATAAATATATATGATTATATATGAATATATACAAACAGTATATCATAAAGCAAAATAATAATAATAATAAAATAACTTGGACACATTACATGCCAACCCAACCAAGTTACAACCAGAGAAATTATCTCCTAATAAGGTCAAAAACATCCAAGCAAATGACCCACAATAAGCGTCACGTCACCTAATCTAGAGCAGCAATACTATACACATATTTATATATGTAAACATAAAATAACATGTACAATCACCGTATAGCCACCAAAATCCTTAAGTGCATGCAAAAGAAATCAAATTAATTTGCACCTGCAATTTCAAAAAATTAGGAAAAAATGTGTTTTACATAGAGAAAAAAATATATATCGTTTTAAAATGAGTTAACAAAAGGAAGAGAAAACCATGGAAGCTTCCAAAACATTGATGTATTTTCAAATAACTGATCCAGTAAAGTGTACCAGTAAAAAAGGGAAAAGGAAGAGGTGGAAACTGAAGAAAAAAAGAAAGAAAGAAAGAAAGAAAGAAAGAAAAAAAAAAAAGCAACAACAGGATAGCAAATATAAAGAAAAGGAAGAAATAAAGATGACCAAGGAAAAGAAGTGAAGTAGCAGAAGGATGACGGAGAGGAGAAAAGGAAGAAATTATTTGTGAATGGGAAGTGCTTAAGAAACTGAATGCATTATGGCTTAAGACATTTTTATTTTCATTTCTCTTTCTACAATCTCATACTACTTTAATTACACTTCCTATTTAAAATTCACACAGACAGACACACACAGACACACACACACACACACACACACACACACACAACACAACACACACACACAACAACACACACACACACACACACACATACACACACACACACACACACACACAACACACACACCAACACATACACATATAATATATATATACACACATATATATACATACACATATATATACATACACACAACACACTACATATAGCAGATTATATACACAATATAATATCACACACACAACATATATACACACAATATATACACTACATATATATATATATATATATATATATATATATATATTATATATATTATATAATATATATATATATATATATAATTATAATATATATAATATATATATATATATATAATTATATATATTATAATATATTATTTTATATTATATTAATATATATATATAATTGTTATATATATATATATATATAGCACACACGCACGCACACACACACAATTTTTTTTCTTTCTTTCTTTTTTTTTCTTGTTTTATTGAATTTTTTAATCGTACATATTACATTTATGATGAAGTCACTTTCTGAGCCATTAACCAAATCCTTCATCATTTAGCTTCCTCATAGAGAATAACTATACTTTATGCACATAGTCCTCTTGACTATCAAATCTACTCTTGTTCAATTGCATGCAGTGAGTTAGAGATCAAATACAGTGTTCATGCAAGAAAACAAACAAACAAAACAAACAATGCCAAACAGGACATGCTCATGCCGCCCATACCCACCTGGATCTGTACAGGTGATCGTTTCTTTGCGGAGAACGGGTTTTATTTCTGCAACGACAACCACACAGAACTGCGTAACAATGGCTCGCAGGATCGCCGGACATTGAGTGCTGTACTATACTATCTATCATAAGGCATTAATCAATATATATAGACAAAAGACACTCAGAAGAGCACATGGAGCCCAAACTGATTATGACACACAGTATATCAATCGGATATACCCCACATGAATCACAAGAAGCACTCATTATTTAACATTGTCTACACCTTTTGAGGACCATTTATCTTCCAATACACTTATATCTATATATATATGTATATAAAAGAAACTTACGGTTTCTGAACAATCAAGAGAAAATCACCATTATGCTATATCATAAGGGAAAATGCCGTTCTTCATCTAAAAGATTAAGTAGTTAATATATTAGTCTGAATTGAATCACTCATCTCATTAAGTTCAACTCAGCACAATTGTGAAAACTCCTTACCTAGTTTCATGAAATTACTGTGACAAAAATACTGTACAGGTTATATTATAACAACTCTTTAAGGATCCACTGCTGCAGTTTAATGGTAAGCCAACATGAACATCAATAATATCATTAAAACAGATCTAAACATATAAAGTATTGTTTCACTTCAAAAACAAAATTGCTCAGGCTTACAAAAATAAATAAGGGCATAAATAAGTGCATAAATAAATAAATAGCAGAGAAATAAAATAAATGTAAAATGAAGTGCATATATCTTACATAAATATATATACACACAAATCATATGTATATATATGTACAATATATACTAATCAATACAGCCTGAGCTTAGATCCTTTTCTGTACAGTAACTGTCAGCTTACAGTCCAGAGTGCATATTCTGATGTTAGTAAATGCAATAAGTGCTTATGGTAACAGATGTATACAAATACTCAAACTAAAGTCAACAACATGCAAAAACAAATCATAAGTTGAAAAAGAATAGGTATTAGAAAAAAGGCTTTCCATTGCAAAATAAAAGTTATGTATATGTATGCATATGCATATGCATATGTTTGTATGGGTGTATGTGTGAGTATGGGTTTGCGTGTAAGAGTGAGCATGAGAGAATGTGCATGTGAGTGAGAGAGAGTGAGAGTGAGAGTGAGAGTGAGAGTGAGAGTGAGAGTGAGAGTGAGAGTGAGAGTGAGTGTGAGAGTGGAGTGAGTGTGATGATTGATGAGCAGAGAGAGGAGAGTGCGTGTGTGTGTGTGTGTGTGTGATTAAGTAAATAAAGCATCACAAAGCAGCAAAACCAAAACCTGAGCAAATAACAGAGTACTATGGTCCAGAATGATTCCATAATAAACAAAGTAAAATTCCTACATCAGTCACTGTGAAAATTTGGTAAAATAAAAGGAATTAAAAAAAAAAAAAAAAAAATCCTGAGAACTACAAATGAAAATATAATATATAATATCCTGAAGTCTTAAAAAAACAAAGCAAAATAAAACATAATTTTCTCATTTTTCAACATAATCATTCTGACCCATAAACGAAATATGAAAACAAAGATCTGTTCCAAGATGGGATAGTAAGAATGCACACACCAAGCTGCATAGGTCAACCATAAGGGTAATCAAGAGAAAGTGCCTCGACACTATTAAGTGACGATGCACATGCAACCAGCACTCTACCTTCTGGCTCCTTCTCTGATGGAGAATCTGGTGCCCCAGTGTCACTGCCTGCGGCACAACTGATGAAAGAGAGCGTGCCCATGGAGGGGCCACTACCCTCTTCCTTGCTTTTGCCCTCACTGGCTCCTGTGTCCTCTGAGGCTCCACTGCCATTTTGCTGAGACTCCTCCACTAGTTTGTTCAGGTCCTCATCCACTGAATAGTCTGACTCTTTCGCACCTAATAGGAAAAGTGGTTAGAGCAACTCTATTCTTTGACAATTCACAGTAATCATAACCAAACTTGAACATATCAATTATGTATGTTAGAAATGTATAGATATCTTTAATTGTTTTTTATCTTCCAATATATGGATTTAATTAATCAAGCCCTCTTTGATGACACTTTCTTCTTCTGAT